TTGGATGTATTTAGTTCAGGCTCTGATGGACCTAGTATATATGTTTGTATGCAATTAAGAATCTATTGACTGTATGAAACAACAAACATATCTACTAGCAACCAAATTCCTGAATAACAGGTTTATCAAACAAATGATTTAGAAGTAGCACGTCTCCACATGCACTGATATGACATTTAATGCACTTAGAACTTGAACAGTAGCAACCTTCCAAAACAATTAAATTTGACATTTTTCTTTATATTTGTCTGATATACCCATCTCCTTTGACACGAGGCAACATGTTCGCATAACCTTTCAGCATGATCATCCTCAAAGTCACAATTTCTGATTAATCTCTTCATATCACAAATGACAACAACCATAAAATGATGCTTGCCTCTACCCTTTCAGTTTATGACTGTTGTATGATTGTTAATAACCTGATACAGCCCACACTATCATCGGACACTGATATAACCACAGACAACATCTAACAATATTGGCCTTTGTAGTCTAATTCCTAGCTATTCCAGTCTAGGTTTGCCTGTATCATGCTCAATCTTTGGCCTTTCAATCACCCCTGGAGATCAGAGATGTATGTATGTATATGTGGCTATAGATCATGTATATTGCAGAATAATGACACATATTCTGTGGAAATAGCACTAAGGGTTTGTTTATTGTCATGGTTCCTGTTCATCCTTGTTAAAATGAATGCTTGTTGCTTGTAATACATATCACGAAGAAGTGGTGTTCGGGGGACTATGTCAAGTTAAAGAAGAATACAATGATTTGTTTGCAGACCATCGTAATAAATTTGTTGAGACTTGGAAATATCATTAATGGACGCTCTGCCAGAAATATTAGCTGGAGACTAGAACTAGTGGTAGCCATAATGAGAATATTTATCAAATACTGACACAATTAATATTAAGATTAAATAAACAGGTGTACTCACAGATTGTACTGTCTCAGATGTACTCAGCAGTGACTGTGTCAGGTTGTACTACAGAATACAGGTGTACTCGGCAGTGACTGAGTCAGGTTGTACTACATTATACAGGTGTACTCAGTGGTGACTGAGTCAGGTTGTACTACATTATACAGGTGTACTCAGTGGTGACTGAGTCAGGTTGTACAATATACAGGTGTACTTAGCAGTGACTGAGTCAGGTTGTACTACATTATACAGGTGTACTCAGCAGTGACTGAGTCAGGTTGTACTACATTATACAGGTGTACTCAGTGGTGACTGAGTCAGGTTGTACTACATTATACAGGTGTACTCAGCAGTGACTGTGTCAGGTTGTACAACATTATACAGGTGTACTCAGGTTGTACTACATTATACAGGTGTATACAGGTATACTCAGCAGTGACTGAGTCAGGTTGTACTACATTATACAGGTGTACTCAGCAGTGACTGTGTCAGGTTGTACAACATTATACAGGTGTACTCAGCAGTGACTGTCAGGTTGTACTACATTATACAGGTGTACTCAGCAGTGACTGTGTCAGGTTGTACTACATTATACAGGTGTACTCAGCAGTGACTGAGTCAGGTTGTACTACATTATACAGGTGTACTCAGTGGTGACTGGAGTCAGGTTGTACTACATTATACAGGTGTACTCAGCAGTGACTGTGTCAGGTTGTACTACATTATACAGGTGTACTCAGCAGTGACTGTGTCAGGTTGTACATTATACAGGTGTACTCAGCAGTGACTGAGTCAGGTTGTGCTACAATATACAGGTGTACTCAGCAGTGACTGAGTCAGGTTGTACTACATTATACAGGTGTACTCAGCAGTGACTGTGTCAGGTTGTACTACATTATACAGGTGTATACAGCAGTGACTTAGCAGTGTATTATACTTAGGTGTACTCAGGTTGTACTACATTATACAGGTACTCAGTGGTGACTAGTCAGGTTGTACATTATACAGGTGTACTCAGCAGTGACTGTGTCAGGTTGTACAACATTATACAGGTGTACTCAGCAGTGACTGTCAGGTTGTACTACATTATACAGGTGTACTCAGCAGTGACTGTGTCAGGTTGTACTACATTATACAGGTGTATACAGCAGTGACTTAGTCAGGTTGTACTACATTATACAGGTGTACTCAGTGGTGACTGAGTCAGGTTGTACTACATTATACAGGTGTACTCAGCAGTGACTGTGTCAGGGTGTACTACATTGTACAGGTGTACTCAGTGGTGACTTAGTCAGGTTGTACATTATACAGGTGTACTTAGCAGTGACTGAGTCAGGTTGTACTACATTATACAGGTGTACTCAGCAGTGACTGAGTCAGGTTGTACATTATACAGGTGTACTTAGCAGTGACTGAGTCAGGTTGTACTACATTATACAGGTGTACTCAGCAGTGACTGTCAGGTTGTACAACATTATACAGGTGTACTCAGCAGTGACTGTGTCAGGGTGTACTACATTATACAGGTGTACTCAACAGTGACTGAGTCAGGTTGTACTACATTATACAGGTGTACTCAGTGGTGACTGAGTCAGGTTGTACATTATACAGGTGTACTCAGCAGTGACTGAGTCAGGTTGTACTACATTATACAGGTGTACTCAGCAGTGACTGTGTCAGGTTGTACTACATTATACAGGTGTACTCAGTGGTGACTGAGTCAGGTTGTACATTATACAGGTGTACTCAGCAGTGACTGAGTCAGGTTGTACTACATTATACAGGTGTACTCAGCAGTGACTGAGTCAGGTTGTACTACATTATACAGGTGTACTCAGCAGTGACTGTGTCAGGTTGTACAACATTATACAGGTGTACTCAGCAGTGACTTAGTCAGGGTGTACTACATTATACAGGTGCACTCAGCAGTGACTGAGTCAGGGTGTACTACATTGTACAGGTGTATACAGCAGTGACTTAGTCAGGTTGTACATTATTCAGGTGCACTTAGCAGTGACTGAGTTTGGTTTTACGTCGTTTTTAGCAATATTCTAGCAACATCATGGCAGGGGACACCAGAAATGGGCTTCACACATTGTACCCATGTGGGGATTCGTGTGACGAGCTAATGCTTTAACCACTAGGCTACCCCACCGTCCCTACTTGGCAGTGACTTACTCAGGGTGTACTTCATTATACAGGTGTACTCAGCGGTGATTGAACATGGCAAGCCAGCATGTGATGTGGATCTTACTTTTGGGTGAAACCCACAGGGGCATGCTGTGTATGGATAAAAGAAAAGGACTGACAACAGACTGGAATGTACACAATGGACAGACAATGAAGAGACACAACAATCTCTAAGGATCCCATAACAATTGTCAGGATGCATTACAGGTGTTGCTTTCATTATAATTGCATTCCAGTAAGAAGCATACGGCAATGTCAGAAGAAGTAAATATGTTCTTCCCTCTTTTGCCTGTCATCAGTTTATCTTGTCTGAGAACAGCTGATGTCCACCCTGCTTGATCCTCTCCATCAGGTTCAACTGCGGCGCTGATGGCGGGACGCCAGACTCATCCAGGATTAGGTGCCCTTGTATCAGAGCAAGCTAGACACCAGGCTGTGGGATTCAGTTGGCCATACTGGGTGTGGTAGGCTAACGCTTAGTCTCTGAATGTATATAATTTTGATTGTAACAAATAAACCAATTTAAATTGAATAGGAACCCCAGGGAGACACGAGATTCAGAACCTGGGGAAATCTAGATGTGCTTCATTTAGGGCTTTAGCATTGCAGGGAGGGCTAGGCAGTTGGGAAAATAATATGGTTCAGGGACTGTGAGACAGACTATGGGTGTGGTTCAAACTCATGGATTCATTTGGAAGTGTTAGTATGATTGATGTAGATAGTTGAGGACCATCATGATGGTTGGTTTTTAATGGGGAGAAAGGTCAGCGTGACCCAGGAATAAGATGTTGAATGTTTTTGTGAAACCCAACATGACAAGATTAATAGACTGAGATTTGATCCAAGTTTATGATGTCTACAGCAGCTGAGACCTCTCACACAGGCAGTACCTGAGGGTTAACTCAGAAGTGCAGATATTGCTCAGTGTACCTTCTCCATATAGTGCTATTACAGGCAGCCTTGTTCTTATATAGGTCTGTTCAGGTCGTACATGTACTTGCCTTGTTCTTATATAGGTCTGTTCAGGTTGGACATGTACTTGCCTTGTTCTTATATAGGTCTGTTCAGGTCGTACATGTACTTGCCTTGTTCTTATATAGGTCTGTTCAGGTCGTACATGTACTTGCCTTGTTCTTATATAGGTCTGTTCAGGTTGGACATGTACTTGCCTTGTTCTTATATAGGTCTGTTCAGGTCGTACATGTACTTGCCTTGTTCTTATATAGGTCTGTTCAGGTCGTACATGTACTTCCCTTGTTCTTATATAGGTCTGTTCAGGTTGGACATGTACTTGCCTTGTTCTTATATAGGTCTGTTCAGGTCGTACATGTACTTGCCTTGTTCTTATATAGGTCTGTTCAGGTCGTACATGTACTTGCCTTGTTCTTATATAGGTCTGTTCAGGTTGGACATGTACTTGCCTTGTTCTTATATAGGTCTGTTCAGGTCGTACATGTACTTGCCTTGTTCTTATATAGGTCTGTTCAGGTTGTACATGTACTTGCCTTGTTCTTATATAGGTCTGTTCAGGTCGTACATGTACTTGCCTTGTTCTTATATAGGTCTGTTCAGGTTGTACATGTACTTGCCTTGTTCTTATATAGGTCTGTTCAGGTTGTACATGTACTTGCCTTGTTCTTATATAGGTCTGTTCAGGTCGCATCGTACATGTACTTGCCTTGTTCTTATATAGGTCTGTTCAGGTCGTACATGCACTTGCCTTGTTCTTATATGGGTCAGTTCAGGTCGTACATCTACTTGCCTTGTTCTTATATAGGTCTGTTCAGGTCATGCATGTACTTGCCTTGTTCTTATATAGGTCTGTTCAGGTTGGACATGTACTTGCCTTGTTCTTATATGGGTCTGTTCAGGTCATGCATGTACTTGCCTTGTTCTGAGGTGGGTCCTCGGTGCCTGTTGAGGCCTGACTGACAAGACTCATCGTCTCGCCCTCCTCATCACTTGACTCTGATTCAGACTGTTCCTCTTTCAGCACCCGTGCTGGAACAACAAGTTGTGGGTGAATGTGATGGGATGAGACTAGCAGAATTTTAGTAGTGTCAACACCAGAAATGGGCTTCACACATTGTACCCATATAGGGAATTGAACCCCAGTCTTCAGCATGACGAGTGGATGCTTTAACCACTAGGCTACCTCACCGCCCCATGATCATGTTTGGAGCTGACACACCAAGGAACTGGCATTTAAACCCATGTGAGTCGAAGGTGGCATCTTGGGACAAAATTCTGTATTCCTTGTTATTTCTATGGATATTACCCTGGAAATCTTCACTCCACACACAAAACAATTACCCCTGAGAAATATAATAACAGCTATAACAAAAATGCTCCCCAGATACATAGTTTTGGGGGTAGACAAAAATTGTCCTTGGGGCCAACATTCCAGGGAGAAGAGACAGAGTTGACGGAATCATTATTTTTTCTTATAATATTTCTCAAATGGAAATATTTTAACATCTACACTAAACATGAATTAAGTTGATTTTCACAAGAACGACCCCTACTGTTTATGCCTGTGAGAGCTGCAGCATGCCACGCCCCACAGTACACAGACTCCAGTGGGGTGGCCAGGGGTTGGTTCAGACAGACTGGGTTGGTGACTTTGTAGGATGATGACTCTCCAGCAACAATGGTGTGGCTGTTTTTGCCCCACATATACAGACGTCCATCACCTGAAGAGAAAAATGTCAGTGTGAGGCATCATGAAAAAAAATTGTTGGATCATTCGTATAAATACATAGACATCACCATGAATGAGTAAAATGACAACATATCTGCAACAAATCATACTGGATCCCAGTCAACAAAGCGTTCATAGTGTTACGGCCCAATCGTAACTGTATACTTAACCACAGACTTATGAATATGGCGTAGTGCTATGAAAGCTTTCTGGATAGTGTTCCTAGTACAGCTACATAGTCGTCTTATTCCATGTTGACAAGTTCGTGAATAACACCACCATATCTTTTGTCTGTGAGTTAATGTTGTAATCATAAAATGGTAGCTTCCTTTCCTAGAAAAATGTGTGTATCCATGCTTCAAAACATCTTCAAATGACATTTGAAAATGTTATATTTCTTTTCAGTTTCTTTTTCTGTCTGTCACCTTTTTCTTCGAAGTCGAACAATGGGCATCAATAATTTCAACACTAACATTATCCTGTTAGTCATCACAGTTCAATAAAAACTGCATTGAAATTAAAAAAAAATCCAAAAGCTTAACATTTTAATAATCCTCAATTTTCCTAAATGACCTGTTAAAATGATGGACAGGCAACAATACCTCCTTTCTTTCCTAAACCAGGATATCTTTTTTCATAAGAAATTAAAATGATTTTCAAACATGTTTTTTCAATGCAGGGAACAAACATCAGTTGCAAAACATGCAGACCGCATGCCAGAATTGTTAGTCAAATATCCGAAGTTGTCATTGAACTGACACAAATTACAGCAGAAATTGCTTTAAGTGAAAATAGATTGTCAATTAACTGCTTCAAGTGGGATTTGCTCATTCTCTTCCCAGGACTAAAACCCACAGAGTTGGTGGTAATTCACCAACACATCCGTCAATAACGTTTGATTATGGCAATGCTCCTCACCTTAATGAAACACTCTCTGCGGGAATCAATCACCAGTCTAAATACCTGTAGTCTGTATTTTCAATTGTGGCCACATATCTGTCACCTGGCTGATAAACTTGCGCAAACCCATAATGGTTTGTGTAATTCATGTAATCAATGAAATAGAGATGGATTGAATCCTCATCTTTGACTAGACGCCACTCTAATCACTTTTTATAGCTCGTCACTTACTCAAATTCACTCAATTGTGAGGTGATCATTTTTTAGCCCATGTTTGGTTTACAGGAATTGCGTCGCTTGATTGACGGTAATGGCTCAGATTGAAAGCATGAATAAAAGTGATATTAACTTTATGTGTTTAATGTGGTTTGTCAACTTGGGGTTTGAAAGGTAACGGTATTCAATGGACTGGAGTTTACTGTCATGCGGCAATCAGTCATAGACTGCCACACAGTTCACGAGTTAAACCTCCTACAGTGATCATTAGGCCATTAGGAATAAACTCTTCTTCTCATAATGTATGTGCTCTTTGAAAAACAAAAACACAAAGGAATGTCAGAGTATTTTTATTTTATTAAAGAAAATATCTAAAAAAGTTGAAATCTATTAGATGTATATTTTTCATCAGGATTAAGACCGTTAAATCATAATACAATCTACCTTTTAATATTTGCAATTATGTTGAAAATAGTACATAAAATGGAATTTAGAAAATGTCAGCAGAGGTAATTAAAGAAGAAGAGATATGAATTCTTCAAATATCAAAGTATTATCAAATCCATTTCAAGATATATTTGAACAGAAAAAAGCAAGTACAAAACAATTCAGAGATTGACATTTATCATAGAAGTATTAATCAGGGTCATTTCTATTCTCAATCTGAAAATCTACAGCTTGACATGACTACTGAATAGACCTATTTGCCATAAGCATGATGGAGAGTGTTGCTTTAAATGAGCTAAGATATCGCTGTTTTCAGACAGGTTGTCTCCAAATGCATTAGGAAAAACAATTACTTGTGACTGTAAAGTTTACAAACATTTATTGAAAGATTTTAATGATAAAAAAATTGGAAGAATATGTAAGAAGTTAAAAGCAATTTCAATTTCTTTTCAAATTGATTGTATTGCAATGAGTTCCCCTTTGATGAAATAGAGACAGCCTTCTGTCCTTTATATTCCAATTATATCTGACAATTTGATACATTAAATCTGAATATATGGATATAAATATAAGCTTTTTACCTCTAAAAAATACAAAATTATAATTCTCTGGAATAAAATCAAATTTTTGTCCTGATATTTTCTATTGTGTAATTTATTATCGCTGTAGCTGGAGTTATTGTGATGAATGCTTTGTCCGCCATGACAAAATGAGCATTGTGAGCTGTGTTTGACATATTAATTACAGTTTGGTGATCATGTTTATTGTGTCTGGAGGGCATCGTACATGATTCAGTCTACATACAGAACCCTCTCATACACACAGCTGGCCTCCAATATCTCCCAGCACATCCCACACAATCACCCCTACCACACACACACACCCATCACACACAACCAGTCCCATCACACACTTACCCCTCCCACACAAACACCCATATCGCACAACCACCCCCATCACACACAACCGCCCCCATCACACACAACCAGTCCCATCACACACACTTACCCATCACACACAACCGCCCCCATCACACACAACCAGTCCCATCACACACTTACCCCCCCCCACACAACCAGTCCCATCACACACTACCCCTCCCCCCCACACAACCAGTCCCATCACACACTTACCCCTCCCACACACACACGCCCATCACACACAACCAGTCCCATCACACACTTACCCCTCCCCCACACACATCCATCACACACAAGCCGCCCCCATCACACACAACCAGTCCCATCACACACTTACCCCTCCCACACAACCACCCATATCACACGCTTACTCCTGCCACACAACCACCCCTCCCACACAGCTACCCCTCACAAACAGACCTCACCCACACAATCAACCCTCCTACACCGCCACCCCTATCCCACACTATCATCCCACAGAGCCACACCTATCACAAACTTACCCCACCCACCCTAACAACCACCCCTCCCACTCAATTTCCCTTCCCACACAACCACCCCTCCCACTCAACAGACACCTCTCTCTTTCTTTTTCTCTCTCTCATTCTTGTCTCAACCCACCCGTCAGACTCCCTACTACACACATAATCACTTAATATGTTAATACTTTTGGTTATTAAATATGCTTTTGATTGATATTTCATGAGCTTTTCATAAATTAACTCAAACCAAACATGACAATAAATAACTTTGTAAATTTCTTCCTGCCTCTTAAGGTGTATTAAATTTAACCATTTAAATGAAAATGATGTCAGTATGACAGGAATTCAATTGCCAAATTTGTCACACTGTCAAATTTTAAACATTAAAATGTCTTTGCGATATAACACATATCTGATGTATACAGATTAAAGTATTTTTTTATATATAAACATCATGTTCAAGATCAAACGTTTTGTTAGCTTTTCATTAACTATATCTACTGAGATGAAATAAAATTGTTTAATTTTTTGGAAAAATATTTGAAAAGAAAAGTCTTGATATTAATATTTAAGTTGTGACAGAAAATTCATTTTGATATTATCAAAGATTAAACTCTTAATAAATTTGAAATTGGAATTGTACTTTATTTAAGGAAACTGACAATTATCAGTTATATCATGACAACTCGCTTAATTAATACCATGTCACTGTCAGATAGCCTTGGGGAAAAAAGAAATGCAATCAAGACAACCAAAAAAACAACAAAAGAATCAGACTATAAAGACAAACTTCTAAAGTAAAAAATTCAAATAATCTCATTTTCATCCACACCCTAAGACCAAACTAAATGAAATGTAAACTAATCATTTTCAAATTAAAACATAAATCTTTGACGATGATATAAACCCTTCTATTGCTGTCATCCTATCATCAATGAACATCTCAAATCAAGAAAGATTGACAAGTGCTGTCGTCGATATACAAGTGTAAATTTCGATTCATCAACGCAACAAAAGCATTTCTCAGCAGTCAATCAGGAAGTGCCACAATTAGGTTGGAAAATTCTCCAAACCACAAAATCGCGTCTTAACATCAAACGTAACTCTAGAAACACAATGCAAGGGAAGTAATGAGAAGCTTATTATGAATCAGTCGGCGACAGACCACAAAATAACTTCAAACAAAGACGGACTCAGATACAGCTAACAGGACTAATGGATTCGTCAATCTTTTCTTTGCGGACACTAATTGAGCCCTGATTTTTAAATTCAACAAGCGCGAAGGAACGTGCACGAAAAACCACAAGTTTCATTAGTCTAAAAACAGGAGTTTAATGGATGACAGAGAGCCTGTTAGATGCACGGAATCCTGGTGTCTGTCCACTTCAATCCAATTCCTTTAGATTTGCTTAGGAAATTAGTACCCAAATTTCATCCAATTTGTTCAAGAGTCCAAGGAGAGTTCCTATTTGATTTTAGATCAAGACTTTTTAGCACACATTTCTGACATAAATTGAGATGGATGGACTTTTAAAACATTTGAGCTGTAAAGAAAAATACCATTAAAGAAGACATATTTTTTTCACAAATGAACATAAAAGTATAAGTTGTCTGGTGAGGTTTCCAAGGAGGAAACTTTAATATTTGCTTTGTCAGATTAATGAAAATTAATTGACCTAGCCAGCAGATTATCACCATTTTTTTTTTCAGTCATATTTTCAATAAGTATAATATTTTGCCTCCTCACTGAAATATTATTACCTCTTTAATAATTTAAAAGCACTGTACAAAAGAAGAAATAACGAGTAAATTTTCCACTAGATTTTGACAGATAAATCATGCAGCTACCAGTAATTATCTATTAACCAAATTAAACCACTGATAGGGACTATGTCTGTGAAGACCCAAAGGTTGTACTGCAGGTGAAACCATGAAGGAATAAAGCTCATTGTTACATGCCACACTCAGCAATATTCCAGCTATACTTGGGCAGGCTGTAAATAATGGAGCCTGAACCAGACAAACCAGTGATTGATATCATGAGCATAATCCCACACCACAGAATACAGTAAAGCCACTAAGCCTAACCATCTGATCCATGTGGGACCCTCATATGAAACTCAGGATAGAATAAGTTCTTTGGGAGGCATTTTAGAAGTTGTACAGATGAAGGAAAACCAAGTTCTATGGATAGTCAACTTCTTTATTGCAATGAGTGCGATGTTTCGGTGTAGGTACTAACACCGTTATCAAGCAAGTTATGATCACTTGTTATGATCACTTGCAAGTGATCATATCAAGCAAGTGATCATAACAAGTGATCATATCAAGCAAGTGATCATAACAAGTGATCATATCAAGCAAGTGATCATAACAAGTGATCATATCAAGCAAGTGATCATAACAAGTGATCATATCAAGCAAGTGATCATAACAAGTGATCATATCAAGCAAGTGATCATAACAAGTGATCATAACTTGCTTGATAACGGTGTTAGTACCTACAGCGAAACTTCGCACTCATTGCAATAAAGAAGTTGACTATCCCTAGAACTTGGTTTTCCTTCAGGATAGAGTAGATGGATTGTGTGGCAGATCACAATATGATTTTGGAAAAATAGGTAGATTCAGTGAATGTTGATCAATGATGCTGTCTCCTCAATAATTTCAGGATAGAGTATACATTATTTATATCCTTTGCAGTTCTATCAGTCAAATATCCTGAGACCCCAAGAATTGGCTTCATGATGTTACATGGACTGAATCAGAACTTCAGTGTGACACGCCAACACTTTAAAACAAAGGCTTTAAAGACTGAGTGGGAAAATACAAATGTCATTGAACAAATCTTCAGTTTTGATTTTAAACACAGGTATACCTGAGTTAATATTGAACAGAATGTTATGACAGTAAGGCTAAGTAGCCATGTAAAAAACAAAGTAATCATGGCAGTCTTCCACTGTACACTAGGCCCAAGAGGAGAATCTTTCATTAGCCCTAAAAAATGACATGCCAATGACATTTAGGTGAGGTGAGGTGAGGTGAGGTGAGGTGAGGTGAGGTGAAATTGGGTTTAACGTTGTGCTTGAGAATAGGTCGCTCATATGACGATGTGGATGCATGTGTATGTGTATGTGCAGCTACTTGTACTAGCCCAGACTTAAGCTGGTTTTATAGTGCTAGCTCACTGAGATACCATGTCACAGTGAAGTATTATGATAAGTAGGGTTTAGACTCCCGACAAAGGTCAGCTACAGCCCTCAGCCCAGAGGGTTGTACCGACTTTCTGTGGCCACCCCATATTATTCCGTTCTTGTAAATAAAATTGTGATTAGCTTCTTGTGACTTCGGACTCTTTGCTGAGTTAATTCCCCCAAGCAGACCAGCACGCCAGTTAGATAAGGGGTTTCACCAGAACCCTCACTTGGACCCAAGACCCTTATCATAACAGTAGCATGAATACCCCACTCAGACACATTATACTGACTCCGAGCTGACCAGTCCTTGTTGTACCCATTAATGCCAAGCGCCAGGCAAGGACCAACAAGTACCATATTTTAACGTCTTTTGGTATGACACGGTCAGGGATCAAACCAACGACCTTCTGCTCTCCGGGCGGACGCTCTAACCACTACACCACGGAGGTGGTTCAATGACCTTTAAAGTGAGTGCATGTTGTGGTATAACACGGTCAGCAGTTTTCACCATTCCCATACCTGTCAGTAATCCAGCGTGGACCAACCAGTGGCTGATAGCAGGAACAAATATGCTCAATCTCCCCAGGGTTCAAATACACTTGATCACTCAGTTGATCACTCAGTTCAGGATTTGAGTTTCTCAGTTTAGTCAACACTTACCACGAGACTATGATACTGGGGCCCAACCTGTACTGGAATCCCCCCAGGATTCAGCAAATATACACTTGAGTCAAGCGATCAGGTTAAAAGGAGGTTTAATCTTGTGTTCAGGATTACTACACTTACACAGCTTGGAGGTGAGGTGAGTTGAAATTGGGTTTTACGTCGTGCTTGAGAATATTTCGCTCATATGACGACTTGGAAGTGTTTGTGGATGTTCAAGGCGGGTGGTATTACGCAGGACTGATGCAAGCCCACTGAGATACCCAGCCTCAGGGGACATGTATATCCTCCACAGACACTGACTCCGGGTAAAGCAATCTTTTCAACCCCTTAATGCCAGGCACCAGGCAGGGAAACAAGTAACATATCTTAAAGTCTTTGGTATGAGGAAACCAGAGGATCAAACCACCAATCTTTCTTTCTTTGGAGAGAAGCTATATCCACTAGATCAAATCAAGTACCATCTAAAACACATTCTGTTTTCAGACAAAACTTTAAAAACTTGGTACCTGTTATACAAGTGCTGAAGGACTCTCCGCATGCAATATGTACGACTTGACCTGTCAGCTGACTGTCCTTGACCTTGCAGGGTCGGGTCACAAACACCTTCATGCCATGACCAAGTTGACCATCGATACCACCTCCCCAAGAGTAGATGTTGCCACTGGCTGAAACACAATCAACAAATGAATTGTCACAACAGAAAACATGGGCAAACTCCCAGCTGGTTGGACCTTAGATAATAAAATATTAATAATTATACTTCCATCCCTGCTTACTACCAAACCTGCCTCACACAACTGGACTCCAGTCGAACTAAATTTTGTTCCATTCTTGCTTCATGAAATAACTAAGTCGAACCATTCATCCTTCATGAAACAGGCATATTCTGAGTCCTGTGTTGAAACATATATTCTTCAAGTGAATTGTATTTGTCTTTCTGTCTCCATGAAATATGGGTGGTGGGGTAGCCTAGTGGGTGAAGAGTTGGCTCGTCATGCTGAAAACCCGGGTTCGATTCCCTAAATGGTTTCAATGTGTGAAGCCTATTTCTGGTGTTCCTTGCCATAATATTGCTAAAAGCTGTGTAAAAGTAAACTCACTTACTCCATGAAATACATATATACATAGTCCTCTCAAACATTCGTGTTTGATCAAATACACATATCATGTCCCATCAAATAGTCATGTTTCATGTGAATTATATCTGTCTACAGTTAATGTATAAAATGCTATTATCAATTACTTTGAAATATACTCATGAAACATAAAACACACAAACTGTGTGATAATTTTGGATGTAAGTCTAATTAATAATGGCCTCATAATGTCAGTCAGTAAGTCTTTGTTTGAAGATTTACACAATGATCAAGGATGTCCTGTAATATTTGACATGTTTTTGACACAAGACATTAAAGGAACCTTTGTTGATGCTAAAACCTTTTCTGGTAAGATTAATTATAGTAGTTAGTAATCAACTTAGCATCCTACTCCATATGATTATTTCATTATTTTCATATTGATTATTTCAACTATCAACGAGCCTACAGATGACACACAATTGATTTCTCTAGGTATCATATGTTTGATTGATTCAATGTGTCTACTGAATAATTCTGGGAGAGAATAATCAATCATGTGACTCCAAGTCTCACACATCTTGATGAAGGATGACAATCGGAACCTAAGACAGAGTTACTAAGTACAGGCACCACTTTGGCTACAGTATCTCTGTAGTATTACATATAATTGTTTTGTCTTTGTCACAGGGCAAAAAATAATCCCAAATATGTTGGTAGGAAGATTGTCTTAAGACACACACTATTCAGGTGACAACAAATTAACATTTTAAATTTCCTTATTCAGAAATAGAACATAAGTGAAAATTTGTTTTTAGGAAAATAGTTTCCGAAGAAGTACCCATAACATCAACAAATTAAACATTTCTTCCGGGTTTGTTTTTAGTGTTCTGACATAGAAACTAGAGAAATTTAATTAATTTGTTTTGACATAAGTAGAAGGTATGTTTTGAAAATGGAATTAGAAATTCATGAAGCAATCCTGTTTCATTCAATTCTTGCAGAACATCTTCTCAGTCGCAAATTCTTGATTGTGTAATGTGTACATTACAAAAACGATATTGTAAGTGTAACCCCAGTGATAACACTTCACTGAGCTATGTGGGAGTACATTGTATGTGTGTTATGCAGCAATAACAATAGCTGATGCTGGTAGGAGGTGAGGAGCATATGGACTCAAAAAATAAAAATAATGGCCCCCAAGATCAGAGTGTGGAAATTCCCAGATGACAAGTGCATAAAAACATGTTATCACCAAGATCGCACACCAAGCTGAAATTCTAAATCAAACCCAATTTACACCAGCTGTTTTAATCTGGCATTTTATGTTGCAGTCTTCGTATCACATTCCAACCTCTTAAACATACATGGATAGGGTTTCCCAGTTTTTACCCATGAAATAAACAAAGCATGAACAATCGACCAGTATATCACTGTGTGTGACTTGCCATGCACAACACCCATTGTTACACTGAGTGTCACATCCGGGACCTGTCACTGGTGCTGATAACAGCAATATACACGCTATGTACATGAGAAATGTACAGCCTATACAACAGGAACAGAGTGCCAGCTGTTCAGATGATTCCTCGGGAAGAAGGATACCCCTTGAAGGATTCCAGGTGTAATAAAGCTGGTGTTTGGCTGACACTTCTTTGGAGGCTTAACATCTACATGCATGTTGGTCATCTGCATTATGCATTATCTATGCTGCACTCAGCAATATTTCAGCTATATGGCCGCGGTCCATAAGTAATGGAGTCTCGACCAGAGAATCCAGTGATCAACATGATGAGCTCCAATCTAGTGAGTGAGTGAGTTTAGTTTTACGCCACACTCAGCAATATTCCAGTTATATGGTGGCGGTCTGTAAATAATCGAGTCTGGACCAGACAATCCATTGATCAACAGCATGAGCATCGAGGAAAGTTTTGTGAATATGAGTGAGTTTGGTTTTACCCCGTTTTTAGCCGTATACAAGCAATATCATGGTGGGGGACACCAGAAATGAGCTTCACACATTGTACCCATGTTGGGAATCAAACCTGCTTCTTTGGCATGACGAGCAAATGCTTTAATCACTGGGCTACCCCACCGCCCCATGCCTCATACATGAAACTGATGTGGGTTATATTGAAAGTCATGAGCACCATTATAGCACTGACACAGGAATAGGTGAAAGTCTTCAGCACTGACACAGGAAACCCAGTTAGCACAGACCTTTCTACTGGAATCATGTAAATGGTAATGAAGCATCTCTATACTATTAACAATATTAGCATGTTGTAATGTCAATATTGCCAAACTATAGGTGAGGTGAGAATTGGGTTTAACGTCGTGTTTGAGAATATTTCGCTCATATGACGACGTGCATGCGTGTGTATGTGTATGAGCGGCTGCTTGTACTAGCCCAGACTGAAGCTGTAGCACTTTGGATACCATGCGGCAGTGAAGCACGAATACGCCACTCAGACACATTATACTGACTCCGAGCCGACCAGTCCTTGATGTACCCATTAATGCCGAGCGCCAGGCAGGGACCAACAAGTACCATATTTTAACGTCTTTTGGCATGACACGGTCGGGGATCGAACACGCGACCTTCCGCTCGCCAAACTATAGAAATGATAGACTTTTACAATGCTAGTTGAAGATATACATGTGTCTTTTCTTCAACAACTGATAGTCTGTGTTCTTATACATCTCTACACAAGACAGCTTAAGTTGAAAACAAACAGAATATTTAGTCAATAGATAAATTGGCCGAGAGATGATGGAACTGGTGGATGAAACAATATTATATTTTTATAAATAATTCCAAATTATGCCTGAAAAAAAATCTACAATGTTTCTGGATTCACTAATGCTTGTATCATGTGTGTTGGCAGAGACAGTGTTAAACAGTGAGTGAGTGAGTTCAGTCTTTAGCCGTTTTTAAGCAATATTCCAGCAATATCACGATAGGGGACACCAGAAATGGGCTTCACACATTGTACCCATGTAGAGAATCAACCCGGGTCTTCGGCATGACGAGCGAATGCTTTAACCACAAGGTTACACAACCACCCCCAGTATTAAACAGAGAATTCCAAATGGATAGATATAAACTTTAAAGATTCAAAGCTTTGTGACTTCATCATATGTACGCTTGATATAGTCATTAGGTTATTGTTGTAGAAATAACAATGATCTTATAAATATGTAGGCTCTTATTTCCATAAATTTGTGATAAATCTGGTGAGGCCTAAATACATTTTTTATTCAAAAAGTACAAGCAGAACTGCACACTCCCTCACAAGTTCTAGAAACCTGAGTAGCTGCCATGCTGGTGACAATCAGTATTCCTGTGATATACGCCCTGGACGTTTTTACTATTTGTACAACAATTTCCTTCTTTAAATGTTTATTTCAACTGTTTTTTAAGACAAAACAAATGAAATCCTAGCTAATCACTGTGTCATACTCATCCATTCAAGTGTCACATGTATGGGAAACACATTGGGACAACCTTTTTACGATTTCTTACTGATATTTGAAAACCAAATCTGACAAGATAACAGTATCTATGCACTTCAGGAGTACCTCCTCAGAATCAAACCACCATTTCCTTCTTTTTCTTTCACATCCAATCCCATTTGAAAACACTGACTTTTTTCCAATGAAACACACACCTTTAACTAACTGAAAACACTTTCAAAACGACTTTGTTTTACGATATGTAAAGAAATGGAATAATTAGAAACATATCCTTTTAACAATTCCATATCAAGCTGATGTCAGAACTTGGGAAGAAATTTCAAAATCTGGGTTTTCTATTGTTTGAACACCATGGAATCAAAGTAAGATGTTTCCTTTTTACGTGCATGTCAGAGCGTAAACCTGTGTATTGTTTATACACAAAACCTCGGTGAATGTGCAAGGAGACAAAACATCGGAAGACCACTTGTACATATACAGAAGCAAGACGCCATAACATGTTGACGAAAGTCCTCCGATTTCAACACAAACATTGGGCCATGACTCCCATAAACAACCCTTGTCATTGGCACTGCATTAGAAAACTCCTGCACTGGATGACATAAGAATATACAGCTATAAAAATTCCCAAGACTCTCTGGTTTTCTTTTATTGCTCGTTATCTCCTCCTGTCATGAAATACATGACACTGGTGATACCACAGCAAGGAAAGAAGTCGGGGTATCTTCTCTTGTGTTCTTCGGAAACCGATGTTGGGTGGTGGAATCGGTAACATTCCATAGCATGCTCAGTGGCATTATTCTGGGTGGGAACATCTAAGACATGTTTTTTCATTCAAATTCAACATTTCAGATTATTTTTTTGGGAAACAATAAACATATCAATTCTCATATTTTTTCTTCTATGATTGTCTTCAGAAGTTGTTTAGGAAAAGCAAAATATATAATTCAGAATGTGCATTAAATTGTGCATCTATACTGGTTCAACAATATCATTTAGATGAAATGTACATACACTTGTCCTGAATGTGTACAGTGTCAATATTTCATAAACAAATTTCAATAACCTACCTCAAACATTAAAATTGATAAAAATCCAATCAGGTTAAAAAA